GATTATAGTCTGGAATAGCGCATCTAGGCTTATTTTTTATCCCGGAAAAATGAACGGATCTTGTGGGATAGTTTTGTTTTTCTAGAAAACGAAGCGCGGGTGAGCCTCTATTTCATAGTATAAATGTGGATACTTCGTAATAAATCTTAACGGTCTTTACAAACCAGGCACGTCTTAGACTTAAATTGTATAATAACTGTTAAAATTAAAACAATGCAGATTAAAAAAAAAACTGGTAAACTCTAGCTCCAGTAAAAAAAATCTATCATAGATCTTCTGAAGGGAAATATTAAAATAATAAACGTAGTTAGGTTTTTTGTCGCGACAACTATGTCAGTGTGTATTTACACAGCTGAACGTATGCGTACTAACAAGCGCCGTTAAAACAATATGGAAGCGGTGTTTGTTAGGAAAAAAGTGATTTTATCAACGTATACCCGGATTTGGGAAATATTTTCTGTTTGATATATCGCCGTGACGTTTTCAAGTATCTAATATTTTTCTCTGTCTCATATTTTTTCAAGTGTATAGGTATAAGATATTAAATTCCTCGAAATTGAAGACGTGGGTAATATATTTTGTAGGTAGGTGTAAGTTAAGTATTTATATGATCAAGGTTATTATAACTTTACAAAGGACACTACAAGTCGATGAATAACTAAGTAAGCTCTTAATAAAATTGCTTTAATGACACCTACACTATTATGGCATATTTTTAACGTTTGATTGATGCTGTGCATCTTCTTCTCAATCTTAAGATTTATAAGTTTTATTTTTTAAATCCATTTTTGTAATAGTTAACAATATTATTAAACGACTTCCAAAAAGGAGGAGGTTCTCAGTTCGTCGCATTCAACTACGACGCCCCGACGGCAGGTCTGCCGAAGCAGACCACAACAACCATGTGGTTGCTCCAAGGCCCACTATGTTATCAGAGAAGTACCAGGAGCAACCCGCATGGTACAACAACCGCCCCCCCCCCCCCCCCCCCCGTCGAATAGGGCCACCTCCCACCGCACTATTGACCCCTCCCACCACGACAAGGTGAACACACATACATTCGGTCAAAAGGTATACTTCCCAGGTGATCCCATATAAATTTTATCGCAATCGGTCGAATGGTTTTTAAAAACTTTACAAATTACCTGCTTATTACGTCTACACTAAAAATGGAAAAATAAAAGCTTTTAAAAAAGAACCGACTTCCAGGCGCTAAAATTTCAAAAATAACTAAACGAAGGTTTTCATTTAGGACCCAATCAGATATTTTCGAAGTCCATCGATCGATTATTATCAATTGATACTTGGTTTGTGTTCTATAGAAACTAAAAGATTTTAACACTATATTTCATTTAATATATAGATAACGAAGTGCAAAAGAGGACGGGAAAAGTATAACGATGCAGCGACGTTTTTATTCAATTACACTGGGACAAGACAAACACTGTCTTTGTGCCGTTCGTATGTGGTTATGGTATATCTAAAGCTTTTTCCTAAAGCTTTCCCGCCTGCTTAAATAATTATGTATACAATTATGTGCATTTACATTTTTATATGTGGTAATTGTATTATTGCGAAAGCGAATATATTATGTAATCTAGTTAAGAATTCCTTGTTGTTGTTGTAGGACTGTGATACTGGCTTCTTTGTCAAAGGTTTTTGGTTTGATTTCCAAACAAGATCATTGTTTATTGTCGAACATATGAAAAACTTATGCCAATTTGATGAGGAGGGCGAGACGTTAGTGTACGTAATTGAGTATAATACATTCTTAGATTTACGCGAATATTTAACATTTTAAATAAAATTATCTTTTGTGAGAGACACCGAGGCTCTCCCATGACCATGATTGTGGTGAAGTATTCGAAACAAGAATTATTAATAAATCTAAATAGATAGTTTTATTTTATTTGGTATAATAATTATATACAAGATTCCTTGTATATTACTATATAAAATATTTACCATTTAAAGTTATTTATGAATACAGTTCTTGCAATACAGCTTATGCGAGTGCAGAGCTAGGGAATTCATTATCATTTGTATGCATATAATTATGTCAATTAAGTTTTTTTTTACAGAATATTATTCCATTTCTTGCTGATTTGCATTACGTAAATTATGCAATAGAACAATCTTGCAAATATCAGATTTTAAACGTAACTGCAAGACTATACTAGACTGAATAGTACTCTAATTAAATATTTTATTTTTATTTTAGGTCTAAAAGTTAAAGTGAGTTAAATATGAATTTGTGCTTATGTGAAATGAATGTTTTCTACTTTATATTTAACTTATTATTAGGTAACGAACTGCGCTGAGCGCTGCGGTGGAGTTTTTATTGAGTTACATTGCGACAAGACAAATAATGGGTATGTCAGTCTCTCATATGCGATTGTGGTGTAGTCCCCGGCTTTACCCACTGTTTAGTTCAGACTTTAACATATTAAAAGCTTTTTGTATAAGTATGCATTAATTTATTATTGAATAGCGACTCACCCTCGCTTTGCTCAGGTTCATCCCCAGGGTACGTTTGACACTTAGTATGGAATATATTATGTTTTAACAGTTAATATAGCTATTCGGGGTGAAGAAAAATCCAACAAAACAAAGATCATAAAAATCGGTCCAGCAGTTCTCGAGTTATAAGTGTTGTAACAAAACCGGCTTTGTTTTAAATATATAGACTAGTTATACGCCTTCGTTCTCATCAGGCTCATTTTAAGTAACTTTTAGCAACAAAACATTCTTATTGATGATATTCTACGGGAATCGCTCGTATTCGATTAAAAAGATTGTCACTTTACGTTCAGAAAGTGTGTCCTCGCAAAATTTTGTTTAAAGAAACCAAGAAACATTTTTGCATATAAAATTATTAGTAAATTATACGATATAAATTATAGATTAAAGATACTTACGCCAATTTTCTGCTCTTCTGAAAGCTATGTTCCAACTGACCAGATTTTAATGATATTTATTTATTTTACAATTTAACTAAAATTTACAAAAAGTTACTGTCACGTTAAATGTTCTTGATAATAATATTCTATGTATACTTACTTTCTGGCCATACGTTTTACATGCCATACTATAATTTTATTTAGTTTACAATTTCATGAGTTTTAATTTTTTTACGTAGAACCGTAATTCTTTTACATAACATCGTCTATCCTGAGACCAGCCGGAACAAACAGATAGACAGACAAACAAACATTTTAATAATTGTTTTTTTTCTGTAGGTGTATATACTACCATAATATGCACTTATTAAAAAGCTGTTATTTTGACATTACAAACAGACACTACAATTTTATTTATATGTATAGATTTATAACGTACGCATTTTATTTCTCTATCATTTACAATGTTATAAAATATATGTCCATGTAGAAATAAATCGTCAGATGATAATTGCTTGCCTTTTCAATGTGTTGTATTCCTTTGGATAGAAATTACCCTATTGTGGCGGCACTCGCGAGAGCAATGTTCTGCGAACGGACGCGGTCATTCTCGTGTAAATACAGGGTTATTTTCTCTATAACTTCCTCAATAGAGTATAATGAAAATAGCGAATAGGCGTGTTGTTGGTATTTATAAAATGTAATTTAAATTCAGACTTTAATTAGTGACTTTTGATAACTAGTTCTATTGGTCTATCGATTCTCTGGTAAGATGTAAATACACGTATGTAGCTATATAAATGAGTAATATTCCATGATATTTTTTTTCAAGTTACTTGCATAAACCAGATTAATGCAAAAAATTATTTGAATGTCAAGGGATTTCGATATATTAAAATACTAGCGACTCGCGCTCGCTTCGGTCGGATTCGTCCTTAGGTACGTTTTAACTGTTAGTATGGAATAGATAGACTTTATATTATGTACATACATGTATTAGTATAAACACAAGTATGATGAGTTTTATATTCCTTACTTGAGAAATGATTGATTCCCGATATAAACTTTCATCCCCTTTTTCAATCAAATCTCCCCCTTAAGTGATAATATCCGGGATAAAAACTATCCTCAATCCTTCCTAGAGTCTCAAACTATCTTCATACCAAATTTCATCTAAATCGTTTCAGCGGATTTTTAGTTTATCCATTACAAACAAACTCAGAAACTTTACCTTTTTGTAATATTAGTGTAGATTTTACAATATATAGAATTGAAACACACTTTTTGAATCTGTATTTAATCACAACCTGTGATCGCCAGTTAAATGTTTCTTGTCATTTTCTACCATTTTACGCTTTTGTCTATATTATCGACAACGAACTTCACGCTATTTAATGTAATTTCCGGCAATTGTATAGAATCTAAGGAGACTGGTATCTAAGATTGTCTTGTCTAAACAACGAGGATGTCCCGTTTGCAACGCTTTGGGCGCTAAGAATTGGCCCATTGTTCATTGGCACCGCACGTACCGACCCGAGTGCCGCTAAAATTTTATTGTGAATGGAGATTTTTATTTTCTCTCTGCTGTATTTATTATTTGTAGAAAAATGATTTTAAATTTGATTTTCTTTGGGATGCTCCCATTTTATATTTATACCTATTGAATATAAATGGAGTATAATGCTTCGCTTCGAATTTTTGTCCTCAATGAGCAAGGGTCTACAGAGTACTAAATTGTTTAACGTATTCTGACTTATCTTCTGTAGTATCTGCAGTTTCGATCTTTTAATTTTTTTATCTATATAAACAAAAATGATATTTATATTATATATTTATAGACAATTATGTAGGTACTCGTAAATGCCAACTTTTTAAAGGTTGTTAAGGGGAATATAGTGGAAAAGTTTTTCCAAATTTTTTTTAAGGATCATTGGGAACTACGGAAATAGCTTATCTTTTAAACTTTTTGAATACACTTGAAGATTATAAGTACATACATTTAATATAGACATGCAACGTCTGTCAGGTCTATTAGTTCTAAATAAATGTATTTAATTTTATTTGTATATAATTTTACATACATACATTTATTTTTATCAGGTAAAATGGTTCGAGCAGCAACGTGAAAAGAGAAGAATCAAACGAGACTACAATCCGTATGATGGATCCTTATGGTCGCAAATTTCGCGACGTTTACCATCTCATCGGACGAGGCACAGAGCAATTAACCCTTCACCTTTCTTTCCAGACCCGTTGTATAAGGAACAATGGTATTTGGTAAGTAAACTTCATCTACATAATTCGTTGGCTCACTAGTACAAGGTTCTATGTTACAATTTTAGTACTTATTTAGTTTTTAATGCTACAAAGTTCTATGTGTCATTAGCTACAGTTTTGCAAAAACAAACCATTAGATAGCGGCACTATAACTACAAAATATTCAATTTTACATAGTTATATGTTGTTTTTTTTTACGATAACAAAATAACGAAGTTCTATGTAAAAATTATTAAACTTCATTAAAATTAACATAGAACCTTGTAATATGCCTTTTAATGTGCCAACGAATTATATCATGTATGGATATAGAGATTCCTTAGTTAGATTTAGTGAAATACCATTTCTGGGTTCATATAATGATATCTAGTCAGTTAAGACCTATATATGTATGCATTTATTATAGAAGAATATTGTATTTATCAGTAAAATGACATGATCAAGGAAATCTTGATTTGGATACTGCTACACTCTTTTTGGTTTTTATTTACTTTTTGTAATTAATATAAATAATTCTTGTTTAGTGGTTATTCAATTCTTACAATAATAAGAGTAATTTCGTATATAAACAGTCTGACAAAGACAAAAGTACGATGTTAAAGATAGCAACCCACCACCATCATCCCGCGGGTAAAAGAGAATTTAGTGTTAGGTCGTCACTATAAAAAATAAGCCCACACTACAAAGTACATATTATATAATTATATATATTTTTTAATCTGTGATAGGAAAATATATTAATTATCTTTTCAGTTGTTTTTGTAAAAATAAAAGATAATATTTAAAAAAAGACATAAAAAAAAATCTATTGGTTTGTAACATTTTAATAAACAACATGAGGTTTTTTTCCTTATATTTGATTCGTTATTTTTCAAGAGTTCCATGTAAACAGGTCTATTTTAGTTTTACCACTTGTGCATAGACTCTCGTTAAAGGTAGGTATTTCTCGTTTACTTTTGCAAATTTTCTGCTTTTTATTTTTAAATGTTTGTTAGTAACGTGACTAATTATTATTATGACTCAAAAATTGTATTAAAACAATCTTACGTTTAGCTTTTTCGACAGAATGGTGGCGCAAAAGATGGACTTGATATGAACGTAGCTCCAGCGTGGCAAAAAGGTTATACGGGTAAAGGGGTAGTAGTATCTATCCTCGACGATGGTATACAAACAAACCATCCTGATCTTGCGCAAAATTATGTAAGTAAAAATGTGGTGTGATTTAAAATTGCTATTAATCTATATATATAAAAGAAAGTCGTGTTAGTTACTTCGCTTATAACTCAAGAACGGCTGAACCGATTTAGCTGAAAATTGGCAGGGAGGTAGTTTAGAGCCAGGAGAAGGACATAGGATACTTTTTATCCCGTTCGACCGCGTTCCAATTTTTATGATATTTTAATTTTTGGATTTCTCTTAGTCCGGAATAGGTAAGTATTAAAACATATAATTAAAATGTGAGAAAGAAAGATTTTTTCTTTTTATATATCTATTTAAAACGTACCTAGCGACGAACCCGAGCGAAGCGAGGGTGAGCCGCTAGTAATAAATATAAAAGGCCTCTTTATTTACTTAATAAATATCATAATACAAATCTATAAATTATTAATAGATATTAATCACAAATAATCATTTCATTTTAAATCAAAAACATGCAAAATATTTTTAATTATTTATAAATAGTGCAAATAATATTTATATAGTTTTTTTTACATTTACGTTTGTGTAACTCAAATTCTCTAATTTATTAATAGATATTATCACAATTTATCAAATCATTTTTAAATGAAAACTTGGAATATATTTTTATTTTTTAATAAAGTGATGTAAATAATAAATAATTATTTAAATTGATTTGTTTTTTTTTAACACAGATTGTAGAGGCGTAAGAAAATGTAAAATTACTATTCTGTACAATAATAATTATGAAAATTCAAAAAATATAAATTTAAAACCTTTTGAAGAACTTAGAGTTATTATTTATTTTGTTTTAAATTTAATATACAATTAACAATAATAAATAAGATTTTTCTTCAATAGGATGCTCTTGCCTCTACCGATATTAATGGAAATGATGATGATCCTATGCCTCAAGATAATGGAGATAATAAACACGGAACACGTTGTGCTGGTGAAGTCGCAGCAGTTGCCTATAATCAATATTGTGGAGTCGGTATAGCATATAATGCTAGTATAGGAGGAGTTAGAATGTTAGACGGTGTTGTGAATGATGCTGTTGAAGCTAGAGCGTTGGGATTAAATCCCGACCATATCGATATATATAGCGCTTCGTGGGGACCAGAAGATGATGGTAAAACGGTTGATGGTCCAGGTCCGTTAGCTAGAAGGTTAGTAAATGCAATTTAAAAGTAATTTAATTATTAGTTATTATATGAGTTGTTTCTTTTATTTTATTTAAAAAAAATAACATTATTTACAGAGCATTCATTTACGGAGTAACAAGTGGTAGACGTGGTAAAGGTAGTATATTTGTTTGGGCATCAGGAAATGGCGGACGTCACACGGACTCGTGTAATTGTGATGGATATACAAACAGCATCTTTACGTTATCTATATCTAGTGCTACACAAGGAGGATATAAGCCCTGGTATTTAGAAGAATGTTCATCCACTTTAGCTTCTACGTACAGTTCTGGAACTCCTGGACACGATAAAAGTGTAGCTACCGTTGACATGGACGGTAGATTACGTGCAGATCATATATGCACAGTAGAACATACTGGGACTTCAGCGTCGGCGCCACTGGCGGCTGGAATCTGTGCACTAGCTTTAGAAGCTAATCCAAATTTGACCTGGAGAGATATGCAATATTTAGTAGTATTAACTTCAAGGCCACAACCATTAGAAAAGGAGACTGGATGGATTGTTAATGGCGTTAAAAGAAAAGTCAGTCATAAGTTTGGTTATGGTCTAATGGATGCTTCTGAAATGGTGAACTTAGCTGAACAGTGGGTATCTGTGCCTCCTCAACACATATGTAAATCTCAAGAAATTAATGAAGACAAAGCAATAGAATCTTCTTACGGTTATACTTTGAGTGTACATATGGATGTAAATGGGTGCAGTGGCACAGTAAATGAAGTGCGATACCTTGAGCATGTGCAATGTAAGATATCATTAAGATTTTTCCCACGTGGAAATCTCCGTATTTTACTTACTTCACCTATGGGGACCACATCGTCACTTTTATTCGAAAGACCCCGTGATGTCATCAGTTCTAACTTTGATGACTGGCCATTCTTAAGTGTTCATTTCTGGGGTGAAAGAGCAGAAGGTAGATGGAGTTTACAAATCGTGAACGCAGGCAATAGACATGTTAACCAGCCTGGCATCCTTAAGAAATGGCAATTAATTTTCTATGGTACTTCAACCGATCCTGTTAGATTGAGGTCTAAAAAGCCAGGGGCTCTACCATATGCCTTCCCTACTGCCGCTGAAGGCTATGATGTCGGGGATTCTTTTTACAATACTGACGCGTTTACTAGTTACCAAAACTTTCCTTTATTCGCCGCTGGTTCAAACCCGGAAAAGGCGATAGCAAGTCTCGATGGACATAACATTCCTTCGCCGCATGGGGAGAATGTCCTCGCCGATAGTAACGATAAACGCGTCATGCATGAATGTGATCCCGAATGCGACACTCAAGGATGCTATGAAAAAGGACCAACTCAGTGCATTGCTTGTAAGAATTACAGATTAGATGATGCCTGCGTGTTGCGATGCCCACCGCGAAGCTATGCGAACCAGGGTGGAGTTTGTTTCCCTTGTCATGAGTCATGTGAAACGTGTGTAGGACCTGGACAAGACTCGTGTTTAACCTGTGCCCCTGCGCATTTGTTAGTGGCTGATTTAGGGTTATGTTTACAACAATGTCCTGATGGATATTGGGAGGATAGCGAGGCATCAACTTGTAGGCCTTGTGCCTCACATTGTTCTACATGCTCAGAACGAGATTTGTGTACTTCGTGTGAACACCACTTAGTTCTTTATAATGGAACATGTTCAGCCTCCTGTCCCCCGTCTACTTACGAAACTGATGATTACACCTGTGCTAAATGCCATCAAACTTGTGATACATGCTTTGGATCAGAAGCGACACAGTGTCTGACGTGTCACCCGTCGAATTACATTCTTGATAGCCGTTGTGTGAATGCTTGTCCGAGTGGCTACTACCCAGATAAAAAGCGAAAAGAATGTATGAAGTAAGTTTCGAACGATTTTTTTTTGTGCAATCGATCTAATATAAAACTATTTATAATTTAATAATGTAGAATAATAATGATCTAAAAAAATGCGCCACCTAAAAAATATTTCTCAGAACATACAGTAAGTAGTTTAGTAAAAATTAAAATATTAATAAAAATTATAACTTTTAGGTGTCCAGTCGGCTGTGCGACTTGCCTTACCTCCTTCTGTCTAACATGTAATTCTAACTGGGAATTGAATAAGAAGGGAAAATGTATAGTCGTGGGTAGTGATCGATGCGCTACCGGAGAGTTCTCAGATGGCGGACAATGCAGTCCGTGTCATGGCGACTGTGAGTCATGCTTCGGCGAAAATGAAGAAAGCTGTCTAACTTGTCCTACGCCTAATTTGCTGCAAAATCATAAGTAAGTGTGGATTTTAAATAATTTTATCGTACGACCAATATACTTGTATACGTCGATGACCTCATTTACTTTGTAAAGTTAGTACTACTAATGTTATATTTATATCTTAATATTTTTAAACAAATCAAGTAACAAATTTTAAATTTATTTCTATGGTTTATCTAGGTTTATTCTGATTTGTCCATTTTTTTATTATTTAATGTTTCGTGCAATAAAGATTGGCTTAAAAAGAATTTATTAAGAAGTGTTTTTCATATTAAATGTACCTACATAGGTACACATAATATAATAAAACTTTCTAAATTTACTATTCTAGAAACTTCAATAGATTTTGTGCTTGAATGTACTAAATACTGGCCTTTGTAAAATAGTGTCAATTTGAATATATATTGAGTTACTCTTGTGAAAACTATAAAAACGTATTAACTCATTAAGTTAAAATACCCTGTTTAAGCAAAATGCAGCTTCTAAGGCACCTGCGATCGTTAGCAGTAATCTTCTTTCTACGCTTTAATACACTGTACACATCGACCTTAATAACATGTCGTTAAATATTGCTTATCGGAGATCATTATCTTCTTACAATATCCTTTAAGATATCACCATTTTGATGACAATGTTCAAAATTTCTCATTTGTTATACGAGAATTATATACATGTTGAGTTTTCTGATTTTTACGACGTCGTTATGACTGATCTGATCATATCAATTTTATATTAGGTACTTTATTTTAGACTTGTGGCTTATGCTTGGTTCGTTCGGGTGCTTTTTATTAGTAGTCGCCTTTTTCATTTATAATATTACTAGCTATTTATCCTTGCTTAGCTAATATATAGTTGGATATACAGGATATACAGCGCCATCCTTTAGCAAAATTTAGCCTAAGTTACTCCTTATAACATCAGCTATCTGACAGTGAAAGTCCCGTCAAAATCAGTCCAGCCGTTTCGGAGATTAGCCGGAACAAACAGATAGCCGTCTGTCTAAAATTTTAAACATTAAAAAAAAAATCTTATAAGTACGATGTATACTTCCATATGCATTTAGTAAAACGCTATTATTTTGATATTACAAACAGACCCAATTTTATTTATTTGTATAAGATGTATAAGACAATAAAAATAAATATTTTCAATGCTTTTTTCCTATTTAGATGCGTAACAGAATGCAGCCGCGGTTACTACGCCGACGGCGGTCGCTGCACGCGGTGTATGCACGGGTGTGCAGATTGCGCGTCGCGTTTGAACTGCACCTCATGTACCGGTTCTTTGAGGCTACAGTCCGGTGCCTGCAGAACTACGTGTGCTGACGGGTAAGTATATTTTGTGTTACTATCAACCTATATGTCATTTGAATTTCACAGAAAGGATATAAATATTTTCCGATTTAATAAGAAATAGCATCATACAGGTAGCTAATTTTCAATATGCTTAAAAATTATTGTATATAGACAAACCTTCTAAGACCAACCTTTTTCCTATTAGCGAAACCCGTGTGACAATCCACTCAGTAGTTTTTGAAATTAGCCTTAACATAAACAACCTCAGAATAAGAACTATTGAAGAGTAGCATTGTCCATATATGTATATCATTGTATAGCTCGAGTATAAACTCGACAAAATCAAATGTATTAAATTTTACAATTAATATTAGAGACGTTAAAACTGCTATTATGCATAGTTCTGGAGTGGGCAATTGTTATAATAAACTTGAAATGCATAACAATATTTGCTTTCCCTGGAAGGAAATTGCATGCATAAAACGTTGAAGAAAATCTCTATATATTTTTACTGCCTGGCCGTCGGATATTCTCAAACTTTTTATATCAAGTTTTGAATGAAAATATTTTTCTTATTTCTAAATTAATTCATCTTTGACCCACTTTAGTGGGATATACATCATTGTTTTGTGAAATATTTAAAAATATATGCTTTAAAATTAATAATAGAGAAAAAGTCTCATAAAAGTAGCGGTTTGTTAATGTATTTTTGGGTAATCTGTTTTTATTATAGGGTAAAGTTTGTTAGATGAAGCAAATCTCTGAATGTACTCATCAGATACCAGTGATTTTTGAGCCCAGACAAAATTCGCATTTCGCAGAATTAGACTTTATATTTCGGTAAATCAAACGAATTCTGTGGGATATCGGATTCCCAAATTAAAAGTTTTACATTTTGTGAAGATAGTCGTTGTTATTTTATATTTATTACTAATTTTAACAATTAATTTTGAACTTAACATTCGAAAGTGCTGTTAAAAACAGTAGAAAAAAATAAAGTATGTAATATTTTTAGTCCCCTGCGATGAACAACGTTGCAATTCAGAATTGTAGCAATTTTGTATTAAGTATTGATTTAAACTCGAGTATGTAGAAAGACTAAAATGGAGTCTTAGCCAAAAAAGATGGGTATAATAAAAAAAAACTTTTTTACTATACACATGTTATGATGAGGATTTTTTTCCCGTAGGGAACGTAGTTTGGATTTATTTTATTTCAATAACGCAAGGTATAATTGCAGTGAGCTCAGTAAATATTAGTCGCAATTACATAAAAATATTTTATTAACACGTTCAAAATATTCTATTCGTTTTGGTAAATTAGGTATTACGAGATATTAGATTCGAGTGAATGTCCAATGATATGAATCTATAATCGAAATAAAATAGAATTTTTGATCTAAGCTAGTTTGTAGTGTTCTGTAATTAGGTACATAATATAAAAACTAAATGTTTTTCAAGACTGGGAGCCTCGATAATTATTATCAAAAATATGCTGCCATGTACTCAATTATATGAGTATAATATATGACCTGACCGATTTCGACCGAGATATTTTATAGGGCACAAGGATGAGCGTTAGAACAAAAACATTCTGTATATCATTTACTCTCAAAATCAGACGTATTTCTGACGGCACGAGGGTGCAACACCACCCAAATTCTAACCATGGGTACAATATTGACAATTTCTCGACAGAGAAATCTAATAACTATATTCTGTCCGACCCGGGACTCGAACCCGGGACCTCTACGTCTGCAACCGTATATGCTACTAGACCAACGAGGTATCAAATTAGTATATGATTAGAATAAAATTACTCATAACCAAATATAATAAAAGTGACATGCTCTCAGCCATGAAAAAAACCTACAATATACTCGTAAGACGTATGTATGTGGTATATTAATAAATACGTACCATCTCATTTTGATATAAACAACCGCGAAATAAGAAATTTCCGTTATGAAATTTTTAGATGAAGGATTTATTAGACTTTTGTTTTTGTTTGTTTAGCGATATCGTTACTGTTTGGTTACCTCTCCGATATTGTGCAAAGTAGAATTTTTGCGTAAAGCTCTCGGGACTGACAGACGGATTGGAAGCTGTGTTTGTTCCTTTAGCATTCTCTATTTCGTTCATTTCAATTTAGTTTTACTCACGATCGCGATACTGTACAGTTTTGAAATGTTGGCGAACCTAGAAATCACTTGGTTGATTGCTTCTTATTATATCATTTATTGCACTTAAAATATGATACAGAAAAAATAACAAAAATAAACATAGTTCACAAAGGTGGACTTATCTCTAAAAGAGATCTCTTCCAGTCAACCCCTGGATGTGGAAGAAGATGTCAGCGGGCAATATAGTGTAAAAAATATACTAAATATATACCATAAATAAAGGTAATAATAATCACACATAAATACATACATACATATATACATATACATATATTACTTATAAAAATATATAATACTATACATATATAATACCTAGTGTAAAGACTCTACTTATACATACATATGCATACTTAATATATAAAATATGATTGCTGATTGATACTGTCTACATTTGTGATAATAAATAATTTTTTAATTTACATTTAAAGATATGGATAGATGGGCTCTCATGGATGGTTTTGAGCAGTTGGTTCCATAGTACTGCGGCATGGCTTCTTAAACAAATATGGATAAATAACGTGATATATTTTTGTGTCAATTGTGTTCTATTTTGTGTCACATGTATAAAAATGTATTTGTCATCGTTATGAAAAAAATTGATATTTAATATTTACTTTACTGAGCTTTTTAATATTATACGAAGTTGTGTACATATTTGTTCACTTTGAGCTATCTCACAATTTTTAATCTACCTATAAATTAAATAGTAGATATAAATTAAAAAGAAGCCTTTTATGTACATTTGTATGGTTAAAATGTATGTATGTATAATTTATCCCGTTTTAGCATAAATAAACGCAATATTCGGTACTGATATACTCGTACAGATAAATTATCTTGATATTGGAGAAATTTACGGGCTATGTTATCTTTTTTTTCGTTCCAATATTTTTTCTTCTCTTTCTTTCACTGTAAAATAAAGCTTATTATTTTAATTACAATAGCTTGATGCATTTTTGTACAGATATTACGCAGATCGCGGTACGTGTTCAAAGTGTTACCTGTCGTGTCGCACATGTATAGGACCAAGGCGTGACCAATGCGCCTCGTGTCCCCAAGGGTGGAAATTAGCTGCAGGGGAGTGCCATCCTGAATGTCCACAAGGTAATAAAGATATATATCTATTTGAAAGTAGCTACTCGAGATATAGATATTTATTCATATTTTTCTATAACCACGTTTTGAATTTAATAAAACTTATTTTATTCATAACATAGTATAGTTTATTAGCTATATATAATTTCACCACGCTAGTATCTATTCGTAATTCAAAAATCTCTTTTAATATAATGAACGTATGGTGCAGTATAGTCATTGGATGCTACAATTTCATTCGCGGTGTCTTTTAATAATAAGCTAAACGGATAAAATGAAGTGAAATTTTACCAGATTCTATCCTTGTACGTCAAAATACGTCAAAAGTCAATAAGTCACGCTATCTACTACTACGTCACCTAGCGTGGAAATATGGAAAACGTGTTTTACTATACCAAGTGTATTGACTCCAAAATCACTTAAAACTTATAAATATTCTTTCTTTAGGTGTATATACAAGAATTTCTGATACTTCAAATTTATTCAATGTTTGTATTATTTTTTACCAGGTTTCTACCAAACTAGCGATGGTTGTCGCCACTGTCACCACTACTGCCGCGAATGCAACGACTCCGGCCCGTTACATTGCACCTCATGTCCCTCACGCTTCATGTTAGACGGCGGGCTATGTATGGAATGCTTAGGATCCCAGTACTTAGAAGCCAGCAGTGGGGCTTGTCGCTCCTGTGATAATACGTGTAGGACTTGCTCAGGACCTGGAAAATACAGCTGTTCAGGATGCTCAAGACCTTTGAGATTGGACCGGTGAGTATTTTATTATTAGTATAGATACGTTTACAATAAAATATCAAGATACATAGATAGATAAATACTTGCTGCCCACATAGAACTGGTAAATAACATAACAAAGGCGGTTTGCCGACTGTGGATAGAAGTTAAGACATAACTTTAGAATAACTGTTTTTTTTAATTGAGCTTTGCATGCTGAGACTACTATATGATTGACTCAGGATTCGAATCTTGATCATCCACTGAGTATTTCTGAAAGTCTTTCTAAGGTGATCAGGTATATTGTTTAGTTATGTAATTGCCTCAAAGAGCATTATTATGTTTCTCGAGTGTTGTTATGTAGGTAATCTTGTTTATTTGGTACGCTCTGCATAACTTACCCATAACCGTTCCCGTAACGCTGTCTATAAACGTAGCTTATATAAGCTAATGTATTTTTGGTAATAATAATTTTTTTATAAGATTTTATTTAACTTACAACGATTGTATATACGAGTATGTTTGTTCGGTAAAAATTTTGCAACTGCATTTCAAAGCAGCTATCCTCAACCGATTGGGGTGAAATTTTGCATACTTGCTTAGTTAAGGTGACAACGCATGGTTAGATAAGTGACGTCATTCTAAATCCAAGATGGCGAACTATGTTTTTTTATGCACCCCTATGATAAGGATATCAAATGAAAGGGTTTGCTGAGAAGAATACGAAAAAATGCCTAAAAAATAAAAATAAAACTTTAAATTAAATCAAACCCATTAATTACATTACATAATTTTTATGATATAAAAACTTTTTTTTTTGAAATTGTGTTTTTTTTTATTAATTTATTTGATATTTGCAAATCTATAAAAAAGGTCATAAGTCATATATTTTTATAATAAATTACAAATTGAATGAATGATTAGCATTCACTTAGAATACGAACGCTCGCTATTTTCTTCGAACTGCTCTAGCAATTTCTTCAAGATAACAAGTAAGTTGTACCTACATTGCGTTAAACGTAAGCCCCTACTAATTTATATGCAAACTATGGAGCGTGATGCGTCAGATTATTTACTGGAGTCGTTATAACTTGATACGTAAAATGTTTGAACTTATATGCAATTTGTTCTAAAATACTAGGCTAAGACCTAAACTTTGTCTCATAATTCGTTTATTAAAATAAGATTGAATATATAGTATATAAAAGACAAATCTGAGAAATAGAGGAAAATTTTAACACTATGTCTCCATTTTTATTTAAAGTTGCATATATTAAACTAGGTTTTATCAAAAAAAAAAATCTTATTTACATAGATGTATAGATCGATGTAAGGCTTGTGAACGTAACTAGCTCAATAGATTAGAAGTCCAGGTTTCACGCCCGTACGGGTATATTTTTAGATTGATTTTGCCAATCTTTTAAGGACAAAACACGATGTTATGTATCTAACAACATAATTTTAGGAAATTTTCCCATTCTATTCTCTGTAAGGGGTGAAGCGTAATAAGTCTTTCTAAATATTTATTATCGTAGTACGTAAATTGAGTGTTTGCTTAATTTAACTTCAACTTTTACGTGTTTGGTTAAAAATTACACGAACTAAATATCTTTATGATATAAAATATGTTAAGAATTAAGAAGATAATATAATTCATTGGATTTTGTTACGATATTTGATTAATATTTATTTTATTATAAAGTTGGAAATCAAGACAGTTTGATGCTTGTTTCTTGTACTATTCTCGTTATATTTTTAGCTCTTATATGTTGAATGTAACCTTAGACCTTCAGAAATTCTGGAAAGATAAACCTAATTGCAGGTTTTATTTCAGCTTTTTACACATAAAATATGTCATGACCTTTAACAATTTTCCCAATTATTACAATGTGTAGGTACAGTTATTTTGTAGTAGTTCTAACTTTTATTTAACTTTGAAACTCGTTATTATGAAATATGATCATAATAGGTTTTATAAGTAATAATTACTTTTTGACAAAATTAGAGACAAATCAGTACTTCTCTTATTTAAAGTTGGTAAAAATATTAAATAATCTTATCATACAACATTTTCACGTACTTTTCAGGCAACCCTAACAGTCCTTATACTTTATGTCTACAAGGTTATGTTAGCAGCCGAAACCTATTAAATTTTAGGGTTAATAGTACTTAACAACTTTAAAGTTCAATAGTGATGGGTCAAGTGACCTTAAAGTTAGCGGTTTCTGATGGCTTAACAGAAAGTTTTTTTAAGTAAACCGATGTAAAATTTAAAAGACGCGAATATTCAGCAAATTATGGTAAAAAATGTATGTATATATGTATGATTGGTTTGAGGAGACATTTTGTTTGTGCAAGACGTGTTTTTCTTTATTTGATCTATTTTGCAAATTAAAAAGTATATCGATTTTCTAGAAATTTACATTAGCCCAATCAGTAGAAAAAGAATCGTCGTGATTTTTATTTTATGTCTTGCGTTATGATAGATTACATATTGTTGAGTCATATCAGCTTTTATTTATATAACTTGAGAGCAAATCTGCAGTATATACATGTATATATATATATATATATATATATATATATATATATATATATATATTTTCTTGTATATTTGAGTCCTAAGAACTGAAACAAACCTCATCAAACAGTCTTAAAATTTACACGTATAGCTAAAATATTTTTTTATTTTGTTTTTTTTTATATTCCTATTAATATTATATGTATTTTTACATATTTTTTTATATTCTTTAGATTAAACAACCAATGCGTCCAGTGTTGTTCTGAACGCGGTGTATCTGTGAACTCAACGTCCACGCCAGATTGCTGCCATTGTCACCCAGACACAGGTAAATATGCAATGTTTTGTTATAACTTGGTTCATTATAAGATTTTATGTTCTTATATATTTTTTATACTTATTAAATATATCTACTATATTTGAAAACTGCATCGATGGTCTAGTGGCTAGGATGTACAGCTGCTGATCCGGAGGTACTGGGTTCGAGTCCCGGGTCGGGCTAAGTTTAGTTATTGAGTCTTTCTGTATAGTAAGCCTCAGTAATAGCCCGGAGTTGGGAAGTTGGCGGTGTTTCACCCCCGTGCCTCGGAGAGTACGTAAAGCCGTCGGTCCTGCGCCGACACTCTCACCAGTCGTGTCGAATAGTCGTCCCACCAGAGTACGGTCAGGAGAACATCAATCATCATTATTTGAAAACAAAATTTTAATTAAATGTTTAAAAAAATACAGTTTATATAAGTATTTAATGGAAAAAAATAAAGATTAAAGTTTATAAAAGTACCAAGCTGTCTATTTAATGGAAAAAAATTAAAGCTGCCTCATAGACTAATTATATTTTGTCTTAGTTTTATTCCAGTTATTTTATATTTATGAGTATAATAGAAAATAAGTCTGAGTCCTAAGCGTCCTTTAATTAAACCCGGATTATCATAAGTGATCGTGGATTAAATATAATTATACTTTGAGTCCAAAACTTCTACCTATTTGTACTATAATATATAAATATATAAAAATATTTGTCCGTTTGTCACATATTCATCTCTAAACTATTCATGTGATAGTCCGGGTAGGTGTTCTTAATACTACCTATACACGATGATAGGTGGCGTGTGAATTTTCTGATAAATTAAGATTTATTACTTACTTATTTGACACGTTTGGCTCAGTTTGTAGTGACCCTACTCGTTGTGCCAGAGGTCGCAAGTTCGAGTCCCCCTGGGTACATATCTTTGTGTGATGAGCACGAGCATTTGTACTCCAGTCATGGGTGTTTATATTTATAATATGTATGTAAATTAAAGTTATATGTATATGTGTAGTGTATCAACTATCTGGTATCCATAACACAAGCCTCGTAGCTTACCATGGAACCAGATAGTGCTGTGTGTTAATGTCCCAACATACATATATATTATTGAAATAGCGCAAAATGCAATGTCAAGTCGAGGAGGCAGTGCTAGTATTTGACCATTTTATATTAAAAGTATCATTTTTTTTATAGGGGAGTGTATAAATTCATCGGTAGCAGGCAAACGTCGTATCACCGAGTGGGGTACGCTGCAAACACCAAGTGAAAATTCGTCTTCTTCCATTGCACTCGTAGCCATAGTAGCGGCTCTAGCTATCACTGTACTAGCGGCTGGGTTGTTTGCGACACAGGTCAGTATTTCTTGTAGTGTTTATATTCTATGTGCATTAAGGTTTTGGCATTAGCAATTTATAAATATTATATTAATTTTAATATATCTTGGATCAAAAATATCTTTTATATTATAATCTTTCAGCACCCATTTGACCCGTTTAGGGGATGATTTGTAAAAATGTTCATCCTTAGTGCTCATGTTTTGTTATTATTATTTTTTTAATCTTTATTTGAAGGACTTGTTCACATAACAAGAAGCGAACATGTCGTCCTTGTAAATTTTTCACATGGACAAATCTTTTGTTATTATAAGGAAGTATGGCTGTACCACGTAATCAAGATTTTATCTTTATAATAAATGAAATATAAGGTCCTAGCATTGCCTGTGGCTCCGCCCGCGTTCAGATGGCGTTCAGATGATCAAAAACCAAATTCTTAGATTTTACATATAAGTATACTCTTACATTACAGTTTTTGTATTTTTTCTCAGAAATGAGACACTTTTCTGCGGTAAAAAGTATCCTATATGTTGACCCGAATAACCAGATATCACCATACCAAATTTAATCAAAATCGCTCCTGTGGTTTTTCTGTGATGCGGTAACAGACAGGCAGACAGACAGACAGACAGACAGACAGACAAACAGACAGACAAGAATTCTAAAAACGATAGATTCGGCCTCTGTATCGATAATAATGTTTATTTCAATGAGATTTTTCAAAAAAAATATTTAATGTACAAATTCGGCTTAGTTACAATTTTATTATACTCGTATGTATAGATTTGTAACTATTCACTTCGAAAAGTCAATTTCTATTCAATGTTTTGAGTGATGTAAAGCTTATTAGTGATGATTTCTCTAATGCTTAAGTTTTTTTTTCACTATGTTATCAAAATATAATTCCTTACAGGGACGAAGATCACAAAAATCTCGATCTGTATCGCGTACAAAAGGACCTCTCTACTCTCCGCTGGCGTGTACAGACGATGACGTCACAGTACTCGGCACACACACAAACTTCCCGGTGTACGAACAAACAGACAAACATACACAAGAAAGTGAACCTTTCCTAAAACATTCCACGTAGCACGCTGTGATGTAGACGTAAGTAAGCCAATTCAATTGTAGATAGAGTTCATTTTACTCATCTCAGTGTAAAGGTAGCGTGCTAACTAAAAATAGTTTGATAATTCAATATTAAATAACTCAAGTCAAAATATTGTCAAAGTCAAATGCTTCGGGCTTATCAATTTTTTTTTATTGAGCACACCACCTTTACGCTGGAGACCGAATTTTTGACAGTTTATGTCTACATAATATGTGACGTGATGTGTGTTATTTAACATTTTAGCGGTAATATAAAATCTTTTTCACGTCTTTTATTAAATAATAGTGGGTATAAGCATTTTTTAAATTAAATTGTTAAAAATCCGGTCTGTTATCACATACATACTAAGTACGATACAATTCTATGAGAATTGCAAAGTTTCATATTGATAGTTCAACTATTTTTGTACTTGTACTAAGTAAACTTGAACACCAACGTAATTTGAACTCTACATTGTCAAATGAATATAACGGTCCTAAGTATAGATATCGATTTTTGTTATTTCATAGAGTTGTTGAAATAAATAGAAACGATTGTGGAAGGAAGATTGTGAATAATAATATTATTGAATCAATTGTTTAGTTGAATATCGATTTAATAAAATCGATTGTTATATATTTCGATTATATGAAATTTAATGTATTTTTTTGTTATTTGAATTCTTATTTCAACAGATATAATAGAAATTCGAGTTGTTTGTATAACAATATTTATCAAATTTTAACGAAAATAATATTATTTGTTCATAATCAAATGGAAAGTGTTGTGTCGAGGACCACTCGTTTGTAAGATTATATTTGTAAATAGCTCAGGGGATTTAACTTAATTAGAAGAAATTATACAGAGATGGGTTTTAAAGGCTGAGATATTGTTTTTTTTTTAATTTTGTACAGATAACTTTAACAAAATTAAAAAAGAGTTCTAATGCTGAATGCTTAATGAGATATTTCAGTGCACTGTTCTATGTTATATTTTTATAATTTTTTTTTCAAGATTTTTATTTTTTATACATTTATATTGGGTTATATAGACGCTTATATATTTTTTAATTTATTTGTAGTATGCTTTTTTAAATGTGATATATTTTTTAATATGATTGATCGCCATAATTTTTGTACAAACTAAAATTTTTAAAGACCGTCATTCTCTGTTTTTTTTTTAACTCTTTTATGTAATACTCAATCGTTTAGATAACAAAATAAATATTAGAGTTTATGTAACCCAATGTACTTAGACTTCTTTGAATAGAAACACATCTTAATTTCCATTTCTATCAATATTTCAATTTTTATGTTTTTTTTTTATTTTTATTTTTTTACTTCTCCTGAGCTCTTAAATATCGTCACAAATCTATATAGGAATATGTAATTGTTCTATACGTCTAAATACCATATACCTTTACGATTAGATAGGTTTTAATTATGGAACAAAATGTTCTATCGGGCTACATGCCACTTGTGATATGTGAAAATTTATACTTACATTGTTTATCGTTACTTTATAAAAGCAATTGGATGAAAGCTTCATAAAAGCTCTTCAAAAGCTAAGTCGAATACTCGATAATATACAGAAATAGCCAAAAATGTAGAAAAACCTACAAAATATCTGTAAACTAAAGCGTTTTTAATACGACAATTTCTTTTTTATTGTATGATAAAATATATTTACTCACAAAATGATTTAGCGCCCAAAAAACTGAGGCCTCCAATACAATCAGGGCAGAGACCGGCCAAAGCTCTTTAATCCCGGTCAAGGATGAAGCCAAATAGACCCTTATTAACCGATGTTTACCGATCGTAAAACTAAATTTTGCCAACGTTAACATGTTAGGGCTGTAAATCTCAAAATTCTTAGAAAATCTGTTTTGTGTGTCCTCTCAGGGCTGAGGGGACAGTATACAATATAGGTTTTGACTCAAATCAATAGCTACGTGGCTTTCACAAAGACTTAGTAACAACTTACCAAATGGTATCAACCATTTGGTCTAAATATACAAGTTTTAATTGATATTAGAATACTCTCATCTTTGGTGTAAGTTTTAATTGATGTTCTTAAAAGCGGTTTGCAGTTGACATATTATTATCAGGAAAGAAAAGTGGTCGTGTTACTCAATATAATAACTAAGTATTTCGACATTTTTTTTTAAGATCTTTAGGACAATCACAATTTGGTCACGTCTCACTATATCCAATATACATTTAAGTAATCATAAACAATGTTAAGTATAAATTAAAAACGAAAACTTTATTAAAAATATATTTTTCCCCGTAACAGATAATAAAGCCATATTGATGCCGGAAATAAGTGGACTTTTTTCTAAAAATAAAATCAAATGTTCACTCTCATTCGTATTGTGTCACTCAATTTGATTTTATCATCGTTTATAAATAAGTAGAATGTAGGCTCAAAAGTTACCATAATATTGTACAATAAATAATTAATTCTAATGAATACTGGCAATACCACTATTTTTTTAATGACAATTTTTTTTTTAATATTCATAAACATAATTTTTTTTTTTAGTTTAAACCTTGTCATTTCTTGTCTTTATTTTTAAGTAGAATGACTTGATTACACTCATTTGATTGTTCGACGCCTATTGTAACTCTATCGTCGCACTGTGTGTTCGAAATTTTTAGTTTAATTTTGTTGGGCGTTTTCAAATAGAGCGTTCGTTAATTTTTAATAATTTTGTAGAGGGTTTTGGAAGATTTATTAAAATATTTATAAATCTCTTGTAAACACAAAATATGAACAGTATCTGGAGCAGAAATAAAATCATTATTTATTCGCAAATCCTCTTATAGCTCTTACGCTCTACTTGATCCCCCCTTGTGCTTGAAACATAATTAGAAAATTATACTTTACATAATATATCGATTTCTCTTTTTAGCGAAATTTTATTTTAATAATACAATAACTACGTAATAACAGACTAATTCAGACGTTACCATTAACATCACAAATGTAAATAAATAGTTAGATTGTTGAATTGTTAACATAAATTATATTATCAATATAAAGAGCACCTGACTGTAGCGTGTAGTCGTCCTTTTCTCTCCTTCTATAATAGAAAAGGACGGACTATTAACCCCTCGCTACTTGAAGCTGAATGTATGGAAGAGGCTTTATGGCGAATTCATTAAACTTGTATTTTGTCAATTATATCTATATATATGTATGTATTTTTTACTGGGGAATAAATAATTGTAATATTATAATCATGATTTTATGACGTAATATTCTCGTTTCTTTGTATCGATTTTATTTTTGTATATTATATTTTGTACTTAGTTTTAAATCTTGACGTCTAATTTGGTTCGTTCCCTTTCAACCCTATGCATAATTTGGATGTCTTTAACAAATTATTTTTATTGTTTTGATCTGTCTGTATAGTTTTATATATATATTTTTTTGTGAAAATATTTTTAATTAAAATTGTATTTTTTTATGAACTATTATTATGTGCAATTAATATTTATAATAAAATAAATTTTGTGTCAAGTCGTTGTTTTTTTTTCTATTGTGCCTATTATTTTTACATTTACAATTGCTTAGGACCAGAACGTGATATGGCCTATTTAAATTACACAATCGATTACAAATAAAACTTGTTGAGCTCAAATAAAACTTGTTTATATGTTAAAGTTACACAAAATTACAGACAACTTAATAACATTTTATCTAGTTATACCTACGCAATATAAGAGAATTCAAATTATTCAGTCTAACCACAATTTTATAGTAGCTGTGCATTTATGACTTCTACACTGTCACAATAACCAGATCAGTTTCTGTCACGGCAGCTAACCCTACAAAGACTTAGAGAGATCAGGTACAGGACGGTTGTACATGCTCTCTGAGATATGAGAGTTGTTATTCAACCCCAAATTTCCAAAATTAAAATGTTGTTAAATATTTCTTAACAAAAAACCCTAATAACTAAACTTGACCCGACCCGGGACTCGAACCTTCAAATCTTTTACCCCTAGATCAACGAGTCAATTAATACACATATAATAGAAATCTAAATATGAATATATCCTATTATAAAATACAAAGCAAATTTTACTTTCAAAATAATTGACAATATCCCAAATAACTACAATACGGTAATATAATATTCGGAAAATCAAAACCCTGTCGTCCCTATAGGACAGACCCTTATTATGTGGGCAATATCAGGGGCGTTATTTACATAGTATTGTACTGCGGCTGCATTACCATTTAGACAATCGGTGCCCAACCATTCGTACTAATACCTCGCTTTAATGGAATATAGACAGTATGTTGTTTTGGGACTATGGGTTTAGAATATATAACTTGCCATTCAAAATATTTACTTTGTTTTGTACTTGCATATTTTTAGTTAAAAATCAGTTTTTTTTTCTTTTTTGTATCAGATACTTCGTAGTTGAAAACAAACGGACAAGTGCGAGTCTGATTCACACCAAGGGTTCCGTAGTACCTACGAAATGTAGTGTGAAGTACCCTATAGTTTTTGATTCCCTTGACGGATCTTGACAGACGGACACACAAACAATAATGAAAATTCATTCATACATTTCATTCTTACAGTCTGCTGATAGGGCAATTCAACAATCGCAGTAAGAGAGCAGACTCGGGAAGCTTTACACCGCCAACTTCCAAACTTTAGGCCGCTACATCAAATTAACATTTTCAACAACTGTCCATATAGTGAAAAGAGCATGAAATTGAAGCGTAATTTTATATTTACCATCATTTCACATAATAAAATTTTTATTACGCATACTTCACTTCTTTAAATTCTAAAATAATAAGAGTTGATATCTTATATTTTACTAGCTTTCCCCGCGGCTCCGCCCGCGTACAGATGACCAAAAACCAAATTCTTAGGAAATGATTCTTAGGTTTTTTGCTTTTTGTATTTTTTCTCAGAAACGAGATATTTTTCCGCGGTAAAAAGTATCCTATATGTTGACCCAGATAAACAG